CACTACATTCACTACCATGACTCAGATACTCTGGAATTCTGGGAGATATAGTTTCGTGAAGATCCAGCACTAAAGACCTGCAGCTCCAGCTCCTATGATTCCATAGAATTGAGCCAGGCCAGTATGAACCCTACTTGGCTCAATGCTATGAAAGAGGGCCCTTCTACACTACCATATAACCCAGATTACCTTCTTTGAACTGAATTATATTAGTCTACGCTGTCCTATAATTGAGTTCAAATCAGATAATTTGGATTTTATGTGGCAATTTAGGTAGGGCAGTGGGTGAAAGTTTTCACATTTGGGCATATTGAGTATTCGTTCCAAATTTGGTCGAGATCCATCATTGTTTGAGTCCACAGTGCTCTCTGGATGTATTTGAACTACAACTCCAAAACTCAAGGTCAATGCCCACCAAACCCTTCCAGTATTTTCTGTTGGTCATGGGAGTTCTGTGTGCCAAGTTTGGTTCAATTACATTGTTGGTGGAGTTCAGGATGCTCTTTGATTGTAGGTGAACTATAAATCCCAGCAACTATAACTCCCACAGGACAAAATCACACACCCCCCCCAACCCCACCAGTATTCAAATGTGGGTGTATCGGGTATTTGTCCCCAGATTGGTCCAGTGAATGAAAATACACCCTGCTTATCAGATATTTACATGGCGATTCATAACAGTAGCAAAATTATAGTTATGAAGTAGCAAGGAAAATAATTTTACGGTTGGGGGGTAGTGTCCCCACAACATGAGGAACTGTACGAAGGGGTGGCGGCATTAGGAAGGCTGAGACCCACTGCTCTGGGGGATCCTAAGGAAGCCAAGCTTTGGGTGAGAAACTAATTTTATGGCTGGGGGTCACGACCACATGAGGAAGTGTATTAAGGGGTCGCGGCATTAGGAAGGTTGAGAACCACTGTTCTAAACGAAGGGATTATATGCCGGCGACTGCACAAATGCGCCGTGACCAATTCCACGCAGGGACTTTGGAGTCAAGGGATCTCCTCGTTATCTCGTTAGGGAGCCGCTGCCGCGGGTTTAATTAGAGGCGGGTCCCGCAGCAAGGCCGGCGGCGTCGGGGAAGAGACCCCGTCCCCGCCAAACAAAGCCGCAATCGCCTTAAATCGCGGGTGGGACGGGCTTTTGCTTCGCCCCCTTCCCCAAATTGCCCCCACGCCCCGCCCCAGCCAGCCCCCTTCCCTGGGAGAGGTTAATAAGCGCTTGTTCTGCCGACAGAGCCTCTGATTGGGTTTAAAGTTCGTGGCTGGGGATACCATTAATCTCTCCGCGGAGAAACGCCTCTCGTTAGTGAAATAGTGGCCGGGTCTTCCTTTTCCCTCCCGCCCCGGGCCCATTGCGGGATGAGAGGGTGGAGGGAAGATTCGGCACCAAGGCCCAGGGGGTTTGGGTGGGTGTGCCAGAAGGGGCAGATTTGGGGAGCCCTTTCTCCCCGCCAAAAGGCACTTTGGGTTCCCTATGCAGGGAAACCTGGCCAATGGGAAGCTGCCTTTCCTGGCTAGGCTTGAAATCAAGGTTTGTGTTTTTCCTCCTCCCTGGAAAGTATGGAACATGACAGGCCAGGAGGCCACTCTCCATAGAAGTATCTCCAACCATTCTTCTGTGTGGCCTAAATGGATGGACAGCATCTGCATAGAGAACCTGTGGCTTATCGGGTTGCTGTGAGTTTTCCAAGCCATGTTCCAGAAGCATTATCTCCTGACCTTTCGCCCACATTTTAGCCCTCTCTGCCCAAGAGTGCTGGTGCTTCACCAAACGACAAATACTATTGAGCAGCCGTGACAGTTCAAGTGACATCAAACTTTACTAATTCTACAGAGCAGATGCATCCACAGTCTGCCTATAAAGATCTGTTTCAAGGTGGTTGCTGTGAGTTTTCCGGGCTGTATGGTCATGTTCCAGAAGCATTTTTTTCCTGACGTTTCACCCAAATCTATGGCAGGCATCCTCAGAGGTTGTGAGGTTGAGAACTAGGAAAATTGGGTTTACATAACTCTGGAAAGTCCAGGGAGGGAGAAAGAACTTTGTCTGCTTGAGGCACGTGTGAATGTTCCAAATGGGCACCTTGATTAGCGTTTAATGGCCTTGCAGCTTCATTGCTTAGCTGCTTTCTGCCTGGGGGAATCCTTTGTTGGGAGGTGTTTACTGACCCTGATTGTTTCTTGTCTGGAATTCCCCTGCTTTTTGGGTGTTGCTTTTTATCTACTTAGTTTTTCAATACTGGTAGCCAGATTTTGTTACTTTCAGGAGTCTCCTCTTATTAGGAGAAGGCAGCCTGGCGTCGTGTGGGCGACGGGAGTACCAATGCTTCCCAAACCCCCAGTGTCCCTGATCATTGGCCAAATTTGGCAGGCAAGGCTTTGAGGAGTTGCAATTCCGAAACACCCGGAGGACTTGAGTTTGGGAATCACTGATATAACACTGTAGAGTTAATACAGTCTGACCCCACTTGAACTGCCACGGCTCAGTTCTATGGAATCCTGAGAGTTGTAATTTGGTGAGGCACCAGCAGGGAAAGCAGAAGACCTCGCAAAACTACAACTCCCAGGATTCCATAGCACGGAGCAATGGCAGTTCAAGTGGAGGCAAACTGTATTCTGAGGGCCTCAGGCTTTCCATTTCAGTCCCTAGATCCCACTCATGGATTGTGGGTGTCCTCAAATTTATTCTGGTTTTTCTTCTGTCCAGGCTTTGGCGATTTGATTCTGTTTCCTTGTTAGTGACTGGGCTGTGCCTTAGAAAAGCAGCCTGAGCTTGACCATGTGGCCATTCCCCATTTTCAAGTCTCTTCTGCCTTTTCTTCCTTCCAGTGAAGACGCATTTTGCCTCTCTCTAAGGCAAAATGTAGCTGCATGGATTTTTTTTTACTTTTTACCCTTTTACTTCTTTAGAAGATGAGACTTAGTAAGCTAGTTTCGCTCCAAGACTTTTTCTATCAAGAATGTATTGTTTTTACTTCGATATATACTTTTGAGCCTAAACTTCTGACTCTGCCATCCTGTGACATCCTAAAATTAGTTTATCCCAGCTCATCACGTGTAAGTTTCTGGTGTTTATGAAGTTTACTTCTGGTACTCAGCTATATTTATGGTGGAATCACCCCAACGAAGGGTTATTTTTGAGCTTAACAGCTCAGATTCTCCAACACATCCTAAAGAAATCACATTGATCGATGTGACCCCTCTCTCGGCTCCTAGCATCTCCAAGGCTTGGTTGATGACGCAAGGACAGCCCCAATTATTTAAGGCAACCTTCTTAAGAACGTGACCAACGCCCTTAATATGAAGCTTATTATGAGCACTGTATTATTAGTGTGGTAGTGATCTGAGTGTGGACGACGACTCTGGAGGGCTCCACTCCTCACTTGGCCATGGAAACCCATGAGGGCGCATCACACGCAGAAAACTCTGTGACTTGCAATGGCCAAACCTCTAACAAATATTAGCAAGAGAGCTCTATAAGAGAGCCATAGGCCGGAAAGAAGAAGAGGAGAAAGGAAGAGGAAGTGGAGGAGGAAGAAGAAGTGGAGGAGGAGGAAGAAGAGAAGAAGGAGGAAGACGAGGAGGAAGAGGAGGAGCAGGAGGATGATAATGAGGAAATGGAAGAGGAAGAGGAGGAGGAGGAGGAGGAGGAACAAGAAGAGGAAGTGGAGGAAGAAGAAGAGGAGGAAGTGGAGGAGGAAGAAGAAGACGAAGATGAGAAGGAGGAAGAGAAAGAGAAGGAAGAAGTGGAGGAGGAGGAAGAAGAGAAGAAGGAGGAAGACGAGGAGGAATAGGAGGAAAGTAGAGGAGGAAGAAGAGGAGCAGGAGGAGGAGGAAATGGAAGAGGAAGAAGAGAAGGAGGAGGAGGAGGAAGAACAAGAAGAGGAAGTGGAGGAAGAAGAAGAAGGAGGAAGTGGAAGGCGTCCCCTGGGCAACGTCCCTGCAGACGGCCAATTCTCTCACACCAGTTTCGTTAATTTTATCTGGTGTCACACTGCATTCATCCCACAGTAGTGTAGTGTAGTGTAGACGCCCCCCCCCCCCCCCAGCGCCCTCCTTTCCTGGCCTTTCGAGAGCGCTTCCTCCTCCTCCTCCTCCTCCTTCTCGGCGTGGCCTCAAGTGACACTTTGGCTCCCAATCGGCATTAACAAGTCAACCACGGCACGGCGGAGGCAAATCGGATTCCGGCAAACCACACAAGCCCCCAAAAACCTTTAAATCTTTTCATGTTTCAAGAAAAAGAAAAAAAGAAATTTTCTCTGCTGTTTGGAGAGGCGCTTCAACTGGACCGCGCACGCAAAGAGGCGGCGAGGAAGTTCATTCCCATCCTTGGCGAGGAAGGCTCCCCTCCCGCTCCTCCCTCCAGCCCCGCGATGACGTCACACCCTGGAAGGGGAGGGGGGAGGCCAGAGGAGAGAGAGTCCCTGCCCCCTCCCTCCCCTGTCAGAGGTGGGGGGGGGAGGAATTATAGGCGCTTCAGGCTGAACGCTCAAAGCACAAAGTCAGCCAGTGGGATGAACTTCTGGAAACCTTTCCCTCCCACCCTCCCACCCCCACCATCACCATCTCTTTTGCTTTTTATATATTGGGGGTTTTTTTGGCTCGGTCTGTGTCATTCACTTTCTGAGAACTGCCTCCTCTGAGACCCCCCCCCCCCCGCCCTCTCCTTCCCCTCCCTTTCCTCTCCTCGCAGGGGCGCTCTCTCTCTCTCTCCTCTCCCTTTTTAATGGTTTGTTTTCTTTCCCAGACTCAGTCTCTCTTTTTTTCTCTCTCTCTCTCAATCTCCGAGCCCATTCTCTCTTCTCTCTCTCTCAGATCTATCCTGCTCTAGGCTGCTCCGTGTCCCCTTTTCCCAAGGGAAGACCATCCTTTTGCCGGAGGGAAAAAGCCTAACTTTGAGAGGGTTTCGGGGTTTGCTTTGCTCCCTTTTGCAGAAGAAAAAGAAGAAGAAGGAAACGGCGCGCGCGCAAAACTAAAAGTTCCTTCTTTTGGAGGCGCGCGCCCGCCCGCCCGGGTCTGTTTTCTCCCTCGAGAAGAAAGGCAGCAGCCAAAGTTCCCTCGTTCGAAAAGTGAGGGAAGAAGGAGGAGGAAGAAGGGAGGAGAGGAAAAGGAAAAGCAAGAGGAGGATGCGCCTCTTCGCCTTCCGGCGGCTGGACCGTTTCTGGGGAGGCGCCTGAAAAAAAAGAAGAAGAAGCCGCGGGAGGAAACGCCAAGCTTGGGAAGCATCGGCGAGACCTCGTCTCTCTCTCTGCTGGGGACGCCAACATGAGCAAGCCGGCGGGATCAACAAGTGGGTAATCCGTTAGGAGGGGGCTGCACGGCAGGGTGGGCGCAGTTGGGCACCGCTTGGGCCCAGGAAGCGCCAGGGCTCCGGCTCCCTGCCATGGGGTCCCGCCAGGTGAGGTATGGCAAAGGCCTGAGCCTTTGCAAACTGCAAATCCCGGGAGGCCATGGCATGGAGCCCTTGCTGGCAAAGGGCATTTCAGTCTAAAGGAACCCTCGGCCTCGTCGGGGTGGAATTGGAAACAGTTTGCCGCCACTTTAATGCAAGGGAGTTGTAGTTTGGAAAGTTGAGGCAGGAGGTGAAAGAAAGGCCTTGTCGGACTGCAACGTCCATGGAGCCCGGGCAACTAAAGTGGTGTCAAACTGCATTCGTTTTACAGTTAAACGCAATGGCTGCGCGCTTTGCTTGTGTTGTGTGTTGAACTCTGGATCCCACGTTTTCCTCCTCTTCCTTTCTCTTCCTCTCCTCCTCTTCCTCCCTTTTTTCCTTCTTCCTTTTCTTCTTGTCTTCTTCCTCTTCCTCCCCTCCTCCTCCTCCCTTTTCTCCTTCCTCTTCCTCTCCTCCTCCTCCTCTTTCTTCTTTTCCTTCTTCCTTTTCTTCATGTCTTCTTCCTCCTTCTTCTCCTCCTTCCTCTTCTGTTCCTCTTCTCCTCTTTCACCTATTCTTTATCTTCTTTCTTTTCTTCTGGTCTTCTTCCTCTCCTCCTCCTTCCTCTCCTTCTTCCTCGTCTCTTCTTCCTCTTCTCCTTTTCCTTTTTTTTCTTCTGGTCTTTTTCCTCTCCTTCCTCTTCTCCTTTTTGATGAATAAAACCTTTCCTTCTGGTCTTCCTCCTCTACCCCTCCTCCTCCTTCCTCTTCTCCTCTTCCTACTTTTCCTTCCATTTCTTCTGGTTTTCTTGCTCCTCCTCCTCCTCCCGGTTCTTCTTCCTCTTTTCCTCTTCCTCCCCCCTTTTTCCTTCTTCCTTTTCTTCTGGTCTTCATCCACTTCTTCCCCTCCTTCTTTCTGCTCTTCTTCCTCTTCTCTTCTTCCACTTCTTTTCCTTCTTCTTCCTTTTATTCTGGTCTTCTTCCCCTCCTCCTCCTTCCTCTTCTCCCACTTCTTTTCTTTCTTCTTCCTTTTCTTCTAGTCTTCTTCCTCCCCTCCTCCTTCTGCTTCCTCCTCCTCCTCCTCTTTCTTCTTTTCCTGCATTTAATGCATGTCTGGTATCTGAAACTTCCTCTCGTGGGGAGCCCTAGCGAGGGTTCTGTGGGGAGGAGAAGGGGGCAATCTGTTGGGAAAGCGGATTGAACGGGAATCCTTTGCACACCATTTCCAGCCTTACCCAATAATCCTGCAAAAGAGGGAAGCAGGAACAACTTACTTAAAAGTCACATTTCGCTTAATCCTAAATCCGGGTGCATGCATTGCATACACCTCATAACTGGGGAATTTCCTCCTCTTTCCTCCCCCCCCCCACCCCAATCTCTCTCTCTCTCTTTCGCCCCCCCTTTAAGTCTGATTGACTGCTCGGGTCGGAGTCTGCTTGAGACGCTAAAAAAAAAATCTGAAAAGGAAATTTGGGAGTTGAAATGTGCGTGATGGGGTCAGTAACGTGCACAATCCAATTTGGTCGGTGACAAGTGATGGCCGAGGAGGCCGTTGCAGAGCGCGATCCCAGGCCCATAATTACATTTTTAATGACTTTTGAGGGGAAGAGGGAGGAAAGGAAAGGAGAGGAGGGAACACGTGCCCGGGTGGAAAACGGCCCTTGGCCCCTCGCTTTCCCCCTTCCAGGATGGGTGTTTGGTGTTGCTGGGAGTGCAGGCCCAGGGCCCTTCCACACAACTCCATAAGATCACACATTATCTGCTTTGAACTGGGTTATATGGCAGTGTGGACTCCGATAAAAACAGATATTGTGGGATTTCCTGCCTTGATTTCTGCGTTTTAGGGCTGTATGAAAGGGCCCTGAGTCCACATTGCCATATACTCCAATTCAAAGCAGTACTGTGATATTTCCTGCCTTGATATTGGGGTTATATGGCTGTATGGAAGGGCCCTGATTTTTCAGTGCTATATATTCCAGTTCAAAGTAGTATTGTGGGATTTTCTGCCTTGATATTCTGGGTTAGATGACTGTGCTGAAGGGTCCTGAGTTCTCAGTGCCATATATTCCAGTTCAAACCAGAATTTATGGGATTTTCTGCCTTGATATTCTGGGTTAGATAGCTGTGCTGAAGGGTCCTGAGTCCAGAGTGCCATATATTCCACTTCAAACCAGAACTTGTGGGATTTTCTGCTTTGATATGGCTGTGTGGAAGGTCCCTGAGTTTTCAGTGCCATATATTCCAGTTCAAAGCAGCATTGTGGGATTTTCTGCCTTGATATTCTGGGTGAAATGGCAGTGTCGAAGGGTCCTCAGTCCACAGTGCCATATATTCCAGTTCAAAACAGAGTTTTGTGGGATTTTCTGCCTTGATATTGAGGTTATATGGCTGTGTGGAAGGTCCGTGGGTTCTCAGTACCATCTATTCCACTTCAAAGCATATATTGCGGGATTTCCTGCCTTGATATTGAGGTTATATGGCTGCGTGGAAGGTCCCCGAGTTAACTTTTATTCAGTTACACAGTTGTATCATCTAGCTCTCAAAACTTTAGAGAGTAAACAGTCTTTCTGGCGTGAGGTTGGAGGGAGAAAAGGCAACCCACACGTTCAACAGAAGGCCAAAAGCGAAAGTAAACACGTTGGGGAGGATAAGGGTATGGAAGAGGGTCTCAAACCTTTTCAGGAGCAAGAATTTGGGGGTCCGTTTGACCCGAGTGAGGGAGAAACATAGGACCCTTCCATAAAGCCCTATATCCCAGAATATCAAGGCAGAAAATCCCACAATATCTGCTTTGAACTGGGTTATCTGAGTATACACTTGGGCCCTCCCTCGAGGTGTTTTGGACTCCAACTCCCACCATTCCTAACAGCCTCAGGCCCTTTCCTTTTCCCCCTCAGCCGCTTAAAAGGAAAGGGCCTGAGGCTGTTAGGAATGGTGGGAGTTGGAGTCCAAAACACCTCGAGGGAGGGCCCAAGTTTCCCTTTCCCCCTGCTTTCCTTCCGCCCGGCTGCTGCTCGGGAGTGATGTCAGCGGTGATCTCTCTGCTTGGGTGGTAATCAGACCCCGCCGAGGAGTCCCCGCAAAGCCGCCTAACTTCTTTCAACAGCCCCTGATGGTAATTACAGTAATCGAAGCTGCCATATATCTTTAAGCAATTACCCGGCGGAGGCGCGCACGCACACAAAGCCCAGGCCCCGGGACGCCCCGTCGGTGGGGCGCAGGAGGGACGGGCCGGCCGGCCCAGCGCCGCTTCCCAGCCTCCCCGCCCAGTTAAGGCTCCTCTAAACTGGATCCGAGTCAAGGTGGGGGTGGGAGAAGGTTCCCTCTGAAGCCCCAGACTTTTTCCCCTCCGATTTTGGGTCCTAGGAAGAAGGAAAACACCACCGAATGTTTTCCTTCCCCAAATAAGTAAAAGAAAAGAACAACAAGAGACTCAGGGCCCTTCCACACAGCCCTATATCCCACAATATCTGCTTTGAACTGGTTTAACTGGGTCCACACTCAGATCATGTGGGATTTTCTGCCTTGGAGGCCTTCCATACAGCCCTATATCTCAGGATATCAAGGCAGAAAATCCCATATTATCTGAGTATGAACTCAGATTGTTGTTTATTCGTTCAGTGGCTTCAGACTCTTCGTGACCTCATGGAGCAGCCCAGGCCAGAGCTCCCTGTTGGCCGTCACCACCCCCAGCTCCTTCAAGGTCAATCCAGTCACTTCAAGGATACCATAACCCAGTTCAAAAGCAGATATTGTGGGATTTTCTGCTTTGATATTCTGGGATACAGGGCTGTTTGGAAGGGCCTCCATAAAATCCCACATTATCCACTTTGAACCGGAATATATCACAGTGTGGACTCAGTTCAAAGAAGGTATTGTTGGATTTTCAGATTTAATATTCTGGAATTTATGGCTATGCGGAAAGGCCCCGGTTATGGTTAGTTAAAGTTAAAGTCCACCCACTTCTACCTTGGGGTCCGTCCACACAGCCCTCTATCCCAGAATATCAAGGCAGAAAATCCCACAATATCTGCTTTGAACTGGGTTATCTGAGTCCACACTGCCACATATCCCAGTTCAAAGCAGAAAATGTGGGATTTTCTGCCTTGATATTCTGGGATAGAGGGCTGTTTGGAAAGCTTTGCCCAGGAATCACAGTGGATTAAATCCAGTCCATCGTGTAGAGCTGGGTCTACTCTGCCACGAAATGCATGTAACAATGGAACCAAACTTGAAAATGTTTCTGTTCCTGGTTTGAAAGTGTTAGTCCTGTTTAATTGTGTAGTACTCACTTTGAAAGTAGTTGTTATACTCCAAAAACTTCCATGTGTTGTTGAAGGCTTTCATGGCCGGAATCACTGGATTGCTGTGAGTTTTCCGGGCTGTATGGCCGTATTCTAGAAGCATTCTCTCCTGACCTTTCGCCCACATCTTCAGAAGGGAATGCTTCTGGAACATGGCTATACAGCCCGGAAAACTCACAGCAACCCAGAAACTTCGGGGTTTTTTTTATGGCTGCCACAAACTATGGTCCCTTCCACACAGCTGACTAAAATCCCACATTATCTGCTTTGAATTGGAATATGTGGCATTGTAGAATCAGTTCAAAGCAGATATTGTGGGATTTTCTATCTTGATATTCTGGGATATAGGGCTGTGTGGAAAGGCTCTCAGATATTGTGGGATTTTCAGCCTTGATATTCTGGGATATAGGGCTGTGTGGAAGGGCCCTATATTGAATTGTGTTGACACTCGTGGAAAAGCTATTGCAAAATGTGCTGTAGGATGTGACCGGAAAACAAAGTTGTTGGGTTTTTGGTTTTGTTTGTTTGTTTCTTCTTTTTTTGCAGTTTAATAAACTTTTCCTATAGTTTTTATTATAGAACTCTTTAGGAAATGACATTTATCCCTGGGCCTTTC